GGGGGGAGGAGGGGGGTTTGCAACCAGGCAGTGCTCCCTCATGTCCCCCCTCTCCCTCAGGACTTACCTCTTGAGGCCCCCCACGGTGTCCTCAGGCCGGACCACGGCCACCTCCTCTGTGTCGTTAAGGAATTTGAGCCGGATCTTGATGAGGCCAGAGCACAGGTCACTCTCCCCCGGGGTGGGCGGCCCCCCCTGGCTGCCCAGGGCGCTGGGCTCAGCAGCTGAGGTCCGTTTGGGCAAGCTCCGGATGTCCAGCAGTCGCTCCAGGCTGGGGTCGGGGGGGCTGCCGCTGTCCCCCTGCTCCACCGCTGGCCCCGCCGCCGCTGCCCCCCCTTCCTCTTCTGTTTTCTCCTCTACGTTTTCGGGGACCCTGGGGGGCTCCGGGGCTTCGGCCACCCCCACCGTCCCCACATAATGTTCCACGTGGCCGAGCCGGATGACGGCCGCATCCCCGGCCGCGACAATCGTTCCCAAAAGCTGGTTGCTGCTGTCAGCGACGTAGGTAGACAGCCACGCCAGGACCAGAGCCAGGACCAGCACCACGACACCGGCCACCACCGTCACCTCGTCCCCCACCCCTCGGATGAAGGTGGCAGCGGGGGGCTCCATCTCTGGAGTGGGCTGGAGGAGCCGGGATTCCCCCCCTCAGTTTTCTTTCTGCCTTAACTCCCCCACGAAGGCCCCGTGCCAGGTGCAAACCGGCCGTGCGGCAGCAGCGGGGACCCCCAGGGCTGCTTTGTGATCACGTTCAGCCTTAAAATAAATCCTGCCGCTGCTCCCGCTGCACAAATTGCTGGAGGGAAGGGAGATTTCTTTACTGCAAACGCTTCTTTTTTGTTACCGAGATACCAAAGCAGCAAAAGCTGGGGCCAGGGTGATGCTGGTGGGGAGCCGTGGGGAGCTCTGAGTGGGCAGGGAAGGTGGCAGCACCTCAGTGATTGTGGGATTTCTTTTAGGAAGCAGAACTTACGGCTCAGGAGTAATTACCTCGTCCCTGCGGGGAGGAGGATGATGCTATCGCTTCCTACGTGCCAATTAGGAGCACAGCTCCTGTAATTACAACCCGAGCTGGAATCGGCCAGGGCAGAAAGGAGCTGGGTGCTCAGAGGGGCCGCATTCACCTTACCGGGGTCAGCGGATGCTCCCGGTGGGCTCCCGAAGCCCCTCGGTGCCCAGCCAGGGTCACGCCATCCCCGAGCACCGGCTCCGTTCCCGGAAGGGAGCAGAGTGACGGCCGGCAGCGGGGCGAGGAGCCCGGTTAACGTCGGTCAAAGCCTTCCCGGTTCTTTCTGCAGCGGCCCCTTGCCTGGCCGACACCGGCCCCGGTGGGGAAGGGGCGCAGCCCGGCGGGGGCGGGACAGGGCCCAGCTGGGGAGAGTTAAACCCCCTGGGAGGGGACGGGGGGGGCGCCCAGGGGCCGGGCCAAGCAGGGGCAGGACGGCGTGGGTCGGTGTGAAACGGTC